TGATCGCTCACTTCAAGCTGACTTCTTCTATGGTTCTGATCAGTTTCTGTCTCAAAGTATTGGCAGACATAGCAAGTGAAACTATGCATGTGTGTTACAGCTGTGTGAGAAGTGGTTGATTTCATGTTTGGTGACCTGTCTCGTGGCAACAGATGGTTGCTGCTCCTCAGAAGTAGCTCATTATTCCATCCGAAGGCCTGCCATGTAATTAATAAAAGTAATGTGGAAACTTTCTTCTGGCTGTGGCCACGAGACCATAGACACCAAGGACTTCAAGGGAGTAGTTTCCTCTTGTGACTGTCCAGGTGGAGTTTGCTGGTTGATGTGCCCTGGTGAGGTGATGTGCCTGAGGACTATTGTAGCTACGTCGTAGTGGTTTTGTGGACGGTGCCACAAACATGATCACTGAGCAATGTTTCAACACTTGGACATTGAGAAATGGATGGTAGCATGGACAGGTGTTGGTCCATTTGACTGAAGGGAAGTCATGGGTGTTCCTAAGGTGACTGGAAGCTCTGTCTGAGCAGCTGGCCAAGAGGCGTCCCTTCGTTCGGCTGACAGGTGACTGCACATTCATCACATACTCCCAGCAGTTGTCTGAGCTATTATTTGCCTCTATGAGCAGTCCCCTGCTAAACGGTGAGAGAAGAACAAATGAGAACAGCTTAGAAGGGAACACAAGTGTGAGTTCATACCCTGCGTCGATACACACACATTGTGTTGCCCAGACTTTCCAAACGCAGCTGTGCAGCCCATCCTATTATTTCCCAGGCCGTGTCTCATCTACAGATGTCACGCCGTTACCACACCCTGCCAGTGATGCCACAAGAGGTACTTCCCTCCCATTAACCTTTTGCTGGTGGTGGGTGGGACCGGGAGTTTTGCAAGAAAAATTAAAATGAGAAACTCTCTGGTAGAAGTCGTAGTGTGTGGTGTCTAAATGGCAATGATATTAGTAAAGCCCCCTTGATTCACATCTGAGCCAATTTCATAATGTAAAAAAATTTTATTTACTTCAAGGCTTTTTCTTTGTTTGTTTTCTTTAGATTGTTTTCAAGGTAATTGGAGGACATTTGTCATGTGACTGTTTCAGCTGTGTCTCTTGATCACTATTGTGTCTTTTGGCAGACCATGTCTAGAGGTGGTCGTAAAGCAGTAGGACTGACTTTTTGGAATGGTAGAAGAAACTATGGGGAAGAAAGACGTGATGCTTTTCGGTAAAGCCTCATCTATCTTTCTGTCTTTCTGGCCTCTTTACTTTAAAACAGGAGATTGCCACCAGTGTTTACTGAGCAAAGATAAGCAGAAATATTTATTTTAAATATTTTATCCGTTGTCTGGTTATAAGGAATGAGAACTTCTTTAGGTGCTAAAATAGTAAAAAAAAAAAAAGCAATGTTCAGTTTAGGTAGGATTAGCAAGACTAACACTGGGGATTTGGGATAGCAGAGTTATAAAAATCTCATTTCCATGAAGGGAATAGCAGCCAGGCTGTCTGACCTTCTGACTGTGTGCCAGAGAGCTAAGGAAAGAGGGTTCTGTGTCATCCTCAGAGCACAGGACTCTTACAGCACACATGTGCAACAAGGTCAAATACGGTAGCATGTCCAGTCAGGGAAACTGAGCCTTTTCTGCATCACCCTGCTCTTGACAGCATGGGGACTCTGACACGATGGGTCTGGGTCTGCATTTATTTGGCAGCTATCCTTCCCTCCCAACCCCATTCATTTCCCAGAATCACAGAATCATCACAGTTGGAAGGGACCTCTGAGATCATCGAGCCCAACCAAAAAAATACCAACAACCAAACACCACCAACACACAAAACACCCCACCACATCACATCCACCCACAGACCAATAATCTTGGGCACTAGAGCATGCCCTGAAGAGCCATGTCTACACATTTCTTAAATACCTCCCTGGGCAGGCTGTTCCAGTGCCTGACCACTCTCTCAGTAAAGTAATTCTTCCTAATATCTAATCTAAACCTCCCTTGCCACAACTTTAGAGGATATGGGTGTTTCCAGGATTACTGTGGGCATTAAAATGTATTGGTGGAGTCCAAAGATCTCTTTTGTACGGCACTTTTCTTTGCTGTTGCAATCAGTTTCTTCTGTTGATTATGATGAATCACTTTGGGAATCTGGCTTGGGGTGGAGGTGCTAGTTTTGGTGGTAGTTGAAGTCTTTCACCTTTGTAGGAGAAATGCCCACTTTTTTTTGCATCAGGAAACGCTAGTCTAACATCTTTATTTTGTGAAAGAAGCAGACTTCTGTCCTGCTGCAATAGAAGAGCCAAAGCAATAGTGACTACTGATGTGGGTTTTTTTGTTTTATAGAGGGGCTGCTGGATCCTTGGACCCCATGTGAAATTAGGCTTGGTATTAGTTACCTCACTAATTGGACAAGCACCTAACTTTAGCCACTCCTCTGGCATGAAAGGCCAATGACCTGCTCTATGTAGCACTGTTCTGCTGGCAACCTTTAACCTGCGGAACCGATGATGTGGGGATACAAGCCAGTTGCTGCAATTGTTTACAAACCAGCCCCCTTCTGCCAGGAGAGGATATGGAAGTCTTTCACAATGGTGCTACCTGCTGGACCTTTGAGTGTGCTATCAAAACTGCTTCACTGATTGTCTTGTCCTTCCTGTACCACGCTGCAGTAAGTGCTTCTCAGCCACAGCTGAGGACTAGACCTGCAGTCTAAAGTTAGGCTTTAGCCTAAAAATAGACTTTTATTGTCATTAATAACACTGGGTAATTGATTGCCTTATAATACGTCCTTTGTCCAGGACAGGCATCAGAGCTACAGGAATAGTCCTGTGAGAGAGAAGAAGTGAAGTTTCCCATAGGCTGTAGGGAAGCACCTGTAAGTAAGCAATTCTCTTACCCCTTTAAGTGCAAACTCTGCAGTTCTTGTATAAAAGACTCAAAACTCCATTCTGGTTTTGGTATACTAGAGCACACTCTGCCATCTCATGGTGCTGCAGTATGTCCCGTGTTCCAGTTTGGATCCTGCTGTTCCTCAGGTTGATGAGAAGCTCATATTTGGTTACTTTCATCATTTCAAACTCCACATGCCCATGATGTGTTCCACTGCTTGCTTTGCCAAGCAGTAAAATTCAGATTTATGAAGCAGTCAAGGTTTTTGTATCCTATATGGCTATATGGGAGAACAATCTGAACTACTGTTGTGTTCTTTGGGGTGGATATTTGGTAGTAACTGCAGGCTGCGATGCCCATGCAATGCCCTGCATGCTTGATGATGTACAGAATTGATTTTATATACAGTTCTTGATTATGTGAGATTTTATTTCAAATCAAGTGTTTAGAAAACAATTATACAGGTTATAAAGAGAACAGATTTTAAATCCACTTCCCAGTGGCGATATGTATGGTGTCATGGTTGGTGGTGGTGGAGCAGTGTGTTATGTGGTGTTTTGTGGGGGGAGTGGTTTGGTGTTTTTAGCATAACACAATGAAGGGAGTTTTCAGTTGAGCAGCCGTCTTCTTCTGCAGAGGAAACTTGCAGGATGATGTTTATGCTTGATTTAGTCATCAGAGGTGAAGTGCACAATAATGGTAAGCCTGTGTTTCTACAATTGGAGGATATTTCTCATAATGAAGGAAGTCTCCAAGGTCAAGAGCTACAATACCCGGAGAAGTTACATCACAAAGCCACATCTGCACAGGACTGCTCTCTTTCCACCCCCATCCCCACCCCCCTTTCTTTTTGATATATCTCAGCTCCAGTGTTGCTCACATCACTTGCAAAAATACCATGGATTTGATTTGGACTTCTGTTTACAGTGTTATTTAGCTGATAAAAAAAAATGAAATACACGCCCCCCCAAAGAAAAAAAAAAACAAAACCAAATAAGTACTTTTCCCTCTAAATAACTGGAGAAGTCTCACTGCAGTCTTCTAATATCCTGTACATTCCCAAACTCGGTTTGTCTAGATGCTGTTTTTACAATGGGAATTACATTGTGTTATGATGATGGCAGCAGCAGCACCTCCCAAAACTAGTCTGGGCCTGTGCATTTCTTAGTTGTGTGACAGTAGTGGGCATGGCAGCTTGTGCCTCTCTGTTGAGCTGTATCTATGTGAAGAAGGAAGATTTTTGGCTATTTTAGCAAAATTTGCATGAAGGAAAAGAGAGAAGGCTAGATCTCAATTTTTCCAGGTCACTTTGTATCTGCATTTACTATTCAAATTAATCTTACTGGTACATGTTACACAGTTTAGAAACCCTTGATATAATACATTTCTCTCTGCAATATTTCTTTTTTTTGTGTGTTTCTATACATGAAATTTCAGTGTAAGGACAGTATTTTATAATCCTCTTTTCGAAGCAGTATTTTTCACCAGTGTTTGTTTGGTTTAGCTTTTAAAAATGGCTGTTAATCTAAATTCAGCTTGTCTGAATTTGGCAAGAACAAGGACACTCCTTAGAACCTCTCCATTTTATTTGTTTTCCAACCTCACTCTTATTCCATAAACAGAATAGCAAAGCAATGTGCTTTGCTCTACATACTCCTCATTGCTGTAGACCTTACTCTATTTATACCCAAAACTCTGACTCAGTTCTGTTGAAGGCAGATGAGTCTTTCCCTGGCTTCAGGTTGTTCTGAATCAGTCTATAAACCTAAAAGTCAAAGCTGCTCCTAACAAAGAAAACAAAACTTTTTTTCCTTCAGTTCCTACCAAAACTTGTGTTGTGGTTTGAACCTGTTGTTCATGTCTAAACACGTTCACGGGTCATCATTCCAAGCATCATGTATTACAGCAAAATTACCGAGTATTCAGTATTTCCTTGATTGCATTGGATTTGACAACAATTAATTGCATTTAGACAGGGTGGTGGCATTCTGCCATCCCTGTTCCCTCGCTCTGCAATTGGGAATGGTCCTTATGAAGAGGTGTAAACGTCATCCAGGTAGCTAGGTAACCCTGAGTATTTAAGGAGGTGAGAATAAAGGCTGATCTTCTTTTAGGTGTGGACAGGTATGAGAGAGGTTGGATTGAACTAGTGAAAGAAGAATTTGTAAAGCTGAGGACATGTGTTTTGCCAGGCGTGCTAGATGTATTGGCTCTAAGTTGCTCTTCCTTGCCCTGCTCAGCATCGTGGCCAACATTTTACTTTATTTTCCCAATGGCGAAACAAGATTTGCTTCACAGCATCGCCTCAGCAAATATGTGGAGTGCCTTCATGGCATTGTAGGTGGAGGCATTTTGGTAAGTAACAAGCTACTGGTTTCTTTCAAGTTTATTGTGGAGCTGCTTGGTATTACTGTTTCTTTACCAGTTAAATTAATTTATTGATCAAATATCTTGGCAGCAGGAACCTCTGGAGTTTTATCAAAAGAAATTAGCTCTATTACCCCACAGGTATTATTACTTACTATTGGTTATCTTATCTACAACGTTACATCACTTTAGAGCTGAGAAAATCATAGGGCTGTTAGGTTCTGGTCCGATTGTTGGTCCGGGAGGGCCTAGGTCCCAGAGTCCAAATGCAAAACTGGAAGGAAGCCTCTCAGGTCATGGTTTGCATTAAGGGTTAAACCATTTATATTGTTACATTTTTGTTATATTATTGAACTTTTATTGTTACTTTATTATTTTATTATATTAAAAGTTATTACTTTTTAAACCTCCCTGGATAACTAGCATTTAGTACCAATTCCTTAATTCCTCTTATCTGAGATGTCAAAAGTTGTTTCTCTGCCTTAGCTCTTTATTCAGAGGAATTGAGTGGCAGCTATCGAAGCTTTGCATTTGAGTAACAGCAAAGGATGAAGAATTGAGTGTGTTCATTGTTAATCTGAAGCTATTATTTTCTACCTTTTCAATTTTGTGGACTGCATCGTAGCATATTTATGTTCCCTGACTCCAGGCTTCCTTTTTCATTCACTTTTAAAAGCCCTCTTAGAAATAGGCTACAAATCTCAAGGTATCTGAAATCACAGGTTGAAAACAATTGCGTAATACGGTGCTCTCTCTTGTGAGAGGTGCTTACAGCTGTGTCACAGCCCCATCGGAACCTAAACTGGGATTTGCAAAGACTGTGTAAAGCCCAGAGTAGTACGAGTGAAACCGATGGAACTGCTCCTTGAACACACTTGTACAGCCTCTGCTGGACCCGCAGCACTGGGTTTGTGTAAGGGCTGATAAGTATGTGACTGTTCAATTGGATAGTTCTTATTTTAGGGTCTTAACTAAGTCTTTGCAGTAACACTTTGCTCTTTCTTTATGGTTTTCCAACATACTCCTGACTGTAGAGTCTTTATAAGTACAATCTATTATTAAGTCCTGTTAGTGCTGGTGGGGAGGATACTCTGTTTAAGCAACTCTGCCCCTTCTTGATTTTATGCTAAAAACTCTGGATTATGGATAACTTATGTTTCTTACAGATAGCTTCTGCTTTGTTACTTTGCATTTCTGTCACAGGAAGCTGTGAAAGCCTAGAAAAAGCTAGATGTCTGTAATGAGATGTTTTCCTGAATTGGGCAAAATATTCCTAGGCTTTCTACTCTACTGGTTTCACACAGGCAGTGATGACTATTCTTCAGTAACCAATATCTTGGCAGCAATTGTTTTCTTAAAACAATTATGAGAGACTTATCTTGTAGTTCTCATTTGGCAAAAGAAGTGTATGCTTTTTTTTTTTTTCTTCAAAGCATTTTATTTGCAGGATACAGCCTTTAATGTGAACGCAACCTCTTAAAGTTGAAGTACTTTAAATTGCAGTAATACTGCAGCAGGCTCTTTATCGACAGGCTCCTCATGTGCTTAAGTGCTGTGTATACACAAGGCGGAAATAGAAGTATACCTGTCCTGGTGTTGGTGCTACTGGTATCAGTAGAGAGATGCCTACTATGTTAAATAAAAGTGAATAATATGTACAGGCTGCCTCCCGCTCCCCTGCCAAGAAGCGATATAATGAATGCGAGGACTGTCTTTTATCTCTGCTGTCTGTGCAACAAACCAGAGCTGTGTGTTTTGTTTGCTCTGTGCCTAGGTACTCATTCCAGCTGCAGTATTCATTGGGCTTCACAACGATGACTGCTGTGGGTGCTTTGGCCGTGGGAGCTGTGGGAAACGGTGTTCGGTAAGTGAGCCTTCATGCTCCAGCCCCAGATAATCCCAAAGGCAAGACGACGGTTGTCTTGAACGTTCGTGTCTGTGTTTCCTGTGTAGATGCTGTCCTCAGTTCTGGCAGCCTTCATTGGGATGCTTGGCTCTGGATACTGCATAATCATTTCAGCACTTGGCTTGTCTCATGGACCTTATTGTTTGACTCATGCAGGAAGAAACTGGGTCTATCCTTTCAATTCTGGAGGGTAAGTTTGTCTGTTCATGAGGACGTTATAACTTCCCACATGTACACATGATCTTTTTTCCAGTACCTTTCAGCAATATTCACTAACCAGATAACAAGATCCATTCATAAGTTTATGCTTTTTACTCAATAAGAACTAAACAGATGGCATCAGTTACTCGTGCTGCTCTAGTTTAAAATCAAAGCAATGTGAATCTTCTGTCCTACAAATAGGGATCTGAGCATACATATAGGTAATAATATCTACATACCACATACTGTTCCCATCCATGAACCTCTGTAGCAAAAGTATAAAGTTTTAGGACTTTGATTTACGTTGTTATGAAATTTGTCTTATCATTTGTGTAAGAATCTGTTTTGTGAGGATTGCTTCTGAAGTTGCTTTGTGTCAGTGCAAACTGGCATAATACCTTCATTAGTAACAATGGCATAGAACCTTTGTCAATGAAGCTAGAAAAGGTTTATGAGAATCTTTGCACAATGCAGGGCGGGGAAGGCTAGAATCTCTTAATTATCCCTAATTAGGCTTCTCCAGCAAACCAAGCGTGTGTAGCTGAGTTGTCTGCTATTCTCCATTAATCCCCACAAGTCCTGTAGGCTGGAAGAGAATTTGGGTTGGATTGTGACATACTTTTACAGTGTCTGTATGGCTGGCAACCTTGAGGTTGTTTCTAGTAACAGTTTATGGCTGATGCCAGATCAGAGATAGTTTGAGTACCAAGAGGCCACGTAAAGATCCTTTGCAGCAGAATTTGAATTTTATATTTCTGCTACATCCCTCCCAAGAGTGGTGGAATTCCTCTTCCCCGACTCCTCCAACCATGAGTGAATATATAAGAACAGAAGTCAGTCTGAAGACCCATGGGTGCTGATGTTCTGAAGATGTGGGTGAGGAGCAGCAGCTGGAATACTGCAGTACCCCGCTACACTTCTTCTGTGTTTGGCTCTTCCAGAGCAGGCATGTGAGGGGCCAAAGACAGCAGCACAAGAGAGGAAGTGACCCATTTGCTTCAAATCAGTAATTGCACCCTTTAGAAAAGTCCTGAAAACCTCTGTGGTTTTACAGTTTAGGTATTTATTTAAAAAATATATATATAATTAAGACTTAACAAAAATATGTGGTTGATAGTTCAGTACATTCTTAAACAGAGCAAACTTTGCATGGAATAAACCTCTGTGTTTTCTTTTCCCACTGACAGTGATTATCCTAGATGCACTTACAGACTAGACGTAATCTGGTTCTAGTGTATGGTAAGCATCCCACTCTGTCACAATGTTCATACTCTTTTAATTGTTGTGTACAGGTACTTGTTTGAGTACAACAAGTGGTCTGTATGTCAGGAGCCTTATAACATCGTGCAGTGGAACGTCACCCTCTTTTCCATCCTCCTTGTCGTGGGAGGAATAGAGTTCATTCTGTGCTTCATACAGATCATCAATGGCTGTCTTGGAGGATTCTGTGGGTTGTGCTGCCGTCATCAGGAGGTAAGCCATTTGCTCTTATAACCATGATTATCAGATGAACATGAAACACTATTGTTACTGATGCTACTGTGGAGCTTTATGCAGCAGCTATTGTTTAGCTATAATTAAGCAACAATTTAGTGTACAACTTTTTTTATAGCCCTGTTGTGTTCAGCGTTTTTGTGTAGTATTTGACCACATGCTTTCATCTGATTCCTCAGCTGTCACAGTGAAGTTAGTCTGCACAGGAGCTGGAAGGCTTTTTTTCCTCTCTGTGGCATGTGTGGATCATCAGCACTGTATAGATGAAACAACTGAAATACAAATCTCCTGGTGGTGGTGGTCTTTGCCACAGCCTAAGCCACTGTTGCATGGTGTGGTGCAGTCTTACGGGAGGCTGTTTGTTCTAACTATATTGCTTTAGCCTTGTATTTTTGCTCACAGCAAAGACTACTGAGAATATGCCAGATGTAATGAAAACTGCAGCATCCTGGCCTTGCTTAGTAAAAACAGGACAAGAGAAGGAATTAAATTGTACATAGGTAACAAAAGCTGCAGATGGATCTGAAGGGTTTTTTGAGTGAGGAAGGGGAATTTCCTCCAAATTTCTTTAGCCTCGTGGTAAACAGTTTGAGCATGTTGTTAAAATCAGTGTCATAGTGGTAGTGTTGGAATTGCAATGGGTTAAGGTATGAACCAGATGTGGTTTATATCACACACACATTATGGCTAAGAACATGGTTCACATTTTTAATTGACATAGTTGAATGCTGGGGCTGTTGCTGTCTCCTCACTCCTGTCATCCATGTTGTAACTGCAGTACAAAAGAGCCATGTTAGGGTTTGTCTAAACGTGGTCAGGTTAATTTTAGCTCTTATAGTTGGATTTAATGTTAACGTTCTTCCCCTTAATATCTGTTTCTTTCTTTTTGTTCCCCCCACAGGCATACTCTTGCTAGAAACCTGATAATGCGTTGACGTTGGTGCATGTGTGTAGTGTATTGAATATTCTATGGTTTGGTTTTGATTTTTTTTGTTTGGTGTTTTTTTTAATATTCCATGCGTACTAAAATGCACATTGGTTGTCAAACTGTGCTGTTGCCACCAATTTAGCTGATTTGGGACCAGCCTTTATTGTTGGAGTCATATGCAGGTTTTCCACTAGCCTGCCTGTGTGTAAAGGCAATATGTTCCCTGAATTTCTTCGGTTCATCTCATCTTAGAACAGGCAACTGCCTGAACATGTCACTAATGATGTTTTTATGTGGGTTTTTTTTTTCCCCCCTTTTTACTGACACAACAGCTCTTTATGCTGCTTTCCCAACAAAGTTGCACTTTTATTCTGATGTTGTAATGGAGACAAACCCAATCTAGTCTGGCCTGGATATAAATGAATACTCAGCTGGAGCAAAAAAAAAAAAAGCAGCAGTGAAATGTGGATGATTGAGGGCAGATAGATCCACTTCACCTTTTCAGGATTTTTCTGAACTTCTCCTGTATTTCACAAATAAAGATTTGTATTCAAAATACCCAGCAGGTGTCAGTGAATCCTTCCCTGCCCATGCTGAAACGCTGCTTTCCTGGTGTTGGAGTCAAGGACCGTGGTGGCACGCGAACATGGACATGAAGTAGTCGGGTGATAACCCACTTTTCCTCTCCAGCAGGCTCTGTCAGAGTGGGAACTGCTTCACTGTTTGGTTTAGAACATTTAGTGGAGCCAGGCGACTGTGCACCAGCGAGGACGGTTCAAGGACAGCTCTGTGTCAGATACAGCTCCGTATGGGGAGTCCGAGTCCTGGCTCTGGGCAAGCAGTTCGTTGCCAATGGCCACTCCAGGGGATGGAGGGAGACTCCCACACCGCTGAGCCTCAGCTCTGGCCCTTCTGCTGCCCTCCCAAGGACAGTCACCTGTCAGAGTCTAGAGACACAAAAACATACCTGGGGCAGGGTCCTGTTTTTTACCTCACTCAGCATCCCCCAGGCACAGCAGTGTTCAGAAAATAATAATGCAAATTCAGGTCAGCAGCAATAGATTAACCTGAAATATCTGACTTCACCAGTAAGCAGCCTGGAGGCACTACTTTAAGATCCTGTGCAAGAACCTCTGAAGTGTGGCTTGTAGCATATTGCAGTAAATGTTCTATCACAAGGAGAAGTAAATCTGAATTATATGCTGCCAGCAGCATTGCTGGCAAGGTCAGTATGCTACTGGCAATGGCACTTTTCAAGTGAAAAGCAAAATATGGCATGTCATTTATTTCAAAGAAATGAGGCTGATTGCCATTATTGCTCTGTTTTGGAATCTATCAGTTAATGTTGTCTTGGAAAACAAGTTATTTTCTGTTTATGGGAGAAAAAGAATTTCCCGTGGGTGTCAGTGTGTAGTTAGTACTATTTGTAAATAGGAGGGTGGTCTTTAAAGGTAGCTAGAAACTTAAGGGTATCTCGGGCTGTCCTCAGCCAAGTCTGCCCAGTACAAATACATATTTGAAAAAAAGAAATTAACTGTGAAAAAAAAGTTGGGCGCACACATCCACAGCAACAGAAGAACTTGCAGACAGAAAAAGTTTGTGTTTAGAATCTCAGGATATCTGCTTCTTGCAATACCATTTATTCATATATAAATACATAGAAGTAGCCGAGGGCAGTCTTTAATAGTGTCTCCGCTTGTTTTATTTATCCCTGTCTTGCCCTGCTATGGGAGGGAGGAGAATATACATGTGCACATGCATATACACACACCGAATTCCTTGCTGCTATGCGATATGGTGGCTTTGTATGTGAAGAAGCAGTGTTTGAGAAAGGATCTGAAAGTTTAAATTAAGTGTAGAGTGAGAGGAGGAAAAGAGGGTCTTGATGGAACAGGGTATAATTCCCATGCTATTTACAGATTTATTTTTTTTTTGCCTTGCTTATATAATTATTTGTCTTTCTGGTACACACAGCTAATTAAAGAACTAAAAAGAATTTTAGAAATTCCAGTGGACAGAATAATTAGGCTAGAGTTTAGAATGAAAACATTACCTCAGATCTATGTCGCACTAACGCACACCATTGCTACTCGCTGCCTATGCTGTCATTTAAAAAAAGGCCAGTTGAATTCCTTTATTGCTTCCTTTATTTGGGAGCTCGATCGGTTAAATCATGGAGAAATGGCTGCTTTAGGTTAAATTCCTTTCAGTTAGCCGAGAAATCACTCATCCAGAGTAAACATGGCTTTTCGGTAACGGTCTTGGCATCAATCATGGGTATCGACAGCAACAGGAAAGCAGTTCTTGCAACACTTGGTGAGATATTTGAGAAACTGATTGCCAGGTTTGCTTAATACTTAGTATAAAATGGTTGCTTCCTTGTCTAGCAGTATAGTGAGCCAGCAAAAAGCACACCTTGATTTGGTATCTGCAGAGTTCGATTTAAATACAAAATAAGTCATGATGCAGACCGCTGCACTGCAGAATAAATGCTGTTTCAGGTGTCATTTTCCAAGTAAGTTTCTTCTAACCAGAACAGTTTACTATGGGGTGTAGCAGCAAATCTGATTATAAACTAAGCTGCTTGCTAGTAATTTTGGCCTTTGCTTTTAAAAAATAAAAAATCAGCCTATTACACAATCTCTGAGTTTTGTAGTGAAAAAATCAGTCTTGGGGATGCAATGTACCTGCTTTTAATTCAGCTGTTTTCTCTGTAAGGCACAGTGGTGATGATGTGGGCTCTGTCCTTGCCTGTGAGCCTGCAAGGGGAGGTTTGCCACTAATTTCGGTTAGAGGGAGGCCTGAAAAAAGCGTCTGTAGCAATTAGGAGTAAAACAAGAAATACGGGAAGATCCTCGGATAAAGCCTGAGGACTTCAAAATGAAACCACCTAGAAAAAGAAGGGAAGAGGGAAACAAGGGAGAGTCATGGTAGAGAATGGGTGATCTCATTTGAAGCAATAGGAAGGAATTACTTACAATGTGCAGCTTGAACAGCTTTTATGAGATAATGAGAGCAGCCTCGTGTGTGCAGAGCCGAAAACAGCTCATGAGGAAACAGAAGGAAAATAGGCCATGACATCATTGCTTCTAAAATCAGCTTTCTTGCTTTTGGTAGAGCCCTAATTTTTTTGTTCTCTGACTACAACTTTCCTACTGAGTAAACCTGGAGCTCCTTCTTGAGTTCCTTTTCTGATGAGTCACAGGGGCATGGGAAGAAGGCTTGGGTCGTGCTGTGAGCGTTCAAACAGCTCTGGCTCTGTGTTACTGGGGTGGCTTAGGGCTTAGGGAATGATGACACATGAAAATGGGGAAACTGTCTGGCCTTGGCTTTGCACAGTGCAAAACAGCAGGCATTTCAAAAAACAGCCAGACCTTTTGTCCTGTGCAAGAAGTCACGTGTACTTAGGTCAGATCCGTAGCTATGCATACTCAGCTGTAAGCACAGAGTAGAACAACTGGAGAAATAGCAGGATTTAATTCATTAAACGGGTCAGCCACATAATGCTGCAGAAAAGAGCAATTTATTAAAGCGTGAGAGTAAGAAACTGCCTGGCAGTTTCTAATCAGTGTGATTTGGGCTCCTGTACTCTCTGCAAAGTGCCTGAGACTCAGCGTGGTGTTTCTGTGAGGCTGGCCCCACGTTAGCAGCAAGTGTTGGGTCACCCTTAGGGTTCTATCTCCCAAGCTCTGGCATTAATTATCTGTAACATGAGGCTTTCTGTACAGACACTGGACATACTTATCATTTGACAGCCCCCTTCCCCACGTAAGGTAGAAAAAATGTTGAGCTGCTGTTAAGACTGAATAACCTGCCTCGTGTCACAGCACATCTGCATCGTAATCGTGTTTTCGGGAGGAGCGCGTTTCTAGGCAGTCACTAGGAAATGAGATTGCTGAAGTTCCTTCCCGAGTCCAACTTCTAGGCATATTTCATTTGGAAGATCACAAAGGAGGATCTTTTAGAAGGGAAACTGCTGCTTAAAGACATATGCTTAGAGAGGACAATGAGTTTAGACAGCGATATTCATCTATTGTTCTGCTAAGTGTTAAGCACTTCTCCCTCTCTGGAATCACACCCCAGTCACCCAGTTCCTGGGAATATGAAATGACTGAATCAAACTGAGGCGGTCAAACCACTTTTCATATTTTAACCCTTGTAATCTTTTGACAGCTTAGAAGAGCGAAACCTCTAAACTTCTGGAGAGATGGCTTTAGAGGCGTGTGGAAGCTGTTTGAGCTGTCTGCTGATACCTCTTGCACTTTGGAGTATTGTTGTTAACATCCTATTATATTTCCCTAATGGGAAAGCTTCATATGCTGCCAGTTACCAGCTTCCCAACTACGTCTGGTACTTTGAAGGGATCTGTTTCTCAGGTGTGATGGTAAGTGTTGATTCTACGGCTATTTAACAAACTGCATTCTACTGCAAATAAGACTGGATTACTGTGCAGGCTGTGTAATTGTTCTGTCAAAGAGAATATGGATTACTTTGGCAAAACCACTGCAGGCCGAAAAACTCAATCAAACTGAAAAAAAAAAAAAAACCATACTGAATGACATGCTATGTATACTACTTAATTTCATATAAGTGATTTTGCAGGTTTGATTGTTTTGAGGTTGGTTTTTATTTGCTGACTTTCCATTTACTTTTAATTTATGCTTGTATTATAGAGGCAAGCACTGTGTTGATTTAATCCTCTATGAAGGTTGCGTTAGAGCTCTTTTACCAAAACAAAATGAAACAAAAACTGAAAAAGCTGCCCAGAACTGTTCAGATGTTTTTAAGAGCTGTATGTGGTCCAGAATTTAGAGGACTGGATACAGTTCACATTGCATCAAGTGCCACTGCTGTTAGGCAGAGTACAGAAGACTGTCTCGCTGTGATTGACATAGTAGGATTTTTCTCCATTACATTTGTAATATGCACATCTGCGGTAATAAACACAGAGCTGCCCACTGCTCATGCTGTCACTATGTTCATAAAGAACAGCAGCCTCAGGGACAGAAAACAGGTTTGTAATAAAAGTGCATGCATGCAATCGGCATTTAAAAAGGTGTCATCTGTGTAAGTAATGTGTTTTTATGAAGGTGCTGAACTGGGAGAGTTATTAAAACATGAGACATCCTTTTGAAATAATGTATTCTTCCTAAGGCAGAAAAAATACCCTAGTCTTTTCTAGCAGGGGAAAAAAACTATCAGGTAGAGAATTTGAACAGAAAAGCAGAGTTGAAAATTCAGGAAAAAGTTACATGCAACAGTACTTTTGAAGTATTTTTAGCCTTAGAATTATTATCAATTTATTAAAAATATATATATTATCCTGTTACAAACAGGGCAACAGCATGTGAGAGGATAGTGCTGTGCTTCAAAAACATTTCCTTTTCGTATTTCCCCTTTCAGGCCAGTGCCTCCCTGAGTGGGAGCTTGTGGTTCTGGAGTCCAAATCTTACTTAGTAAAATTATTCTAGTATCAGGTTTTAATAATCCAATAGTCTGAGAAAAACAGTATGGATACTTGACAGAGAAAGGAAATTAAAGTCCAGGAGAATTTAACCA